TATTTAAAAGGCCCAGACCCTATTAGTACATGTCCATTCAGTGACTATTTTCTGAAAGGTTCATGTTAAATGTAGTTCATGTAGTTAAATACAATTAAAATCAAGATGATTTATAAAATTTCTGGAAACTTCAGAAATCATCTTGTCACCATCAAACTGGTTGGTCCACTATGTGTGTTTGCTGCTTGTGGGACCCAGTTTGTTGTGGCTCCTGGGACTGATGAAGTCCTTTGGATGAAGGATGAAACGTTTCACCAAAAATATAAAAGAAACCGTAGTTGACCTGACTGAACTTTGTTGGATATAAAATGTTATGCTTTACATAATGTGTTGGCTGTGGAAACTATCATGAATCAGGCTGTCTTCAAAGGTTAATTAGTTGTAGCTGTACATGCTATGAATCCAGACTGTTTGTGTTGGGGATGACTCTCAGCTACAACCACAACAATTATTGAGTCTATATTTGTTGTCTGAGCTTTGAGGAATGTCCATTGTTGTTCTTATAGTCAGTGAGCTGTGATCCATCTTAACTCCAAATATCAATAAGTTGTTTTCCTTGATGTTTTGAACCACTTTGGCTATGGATTCCTCAGAGGAGTTGACGGGGGAGAGGGCAGGCCCCAGAAACCATCTTATCACCAGCAAACTGTTTGGTCCACTATGTGGGTTTGCTGCTTGTGGGACTCTGTTGTGGCTCCTCGGACGGATGAAGGACGAAACGTCTCAACAAAAAATGAAACCGTCCAGATGACCTGACTGACCATTGTTGGATTTCCTACCTGGATTATTGAGCATGAACCTTGAAGATTAATAAATTGTATGTATTTATCCAGTGATTATTATGAACTGTCCAGTGGTTCATAAGATATTGTGCTAACAGACTGACATGGGTGAAATATAATCAGCTGCCTACACCTTACATTGGTACAGCTAGAGATACAAACAAATGAGATCTTTTTTCAAACGAGTAAAGAATGAAAAATACTCACTTCCACATCTTGCTTTGTCACAGATGACAGATTAATTAGTCCGAACTAAATGACGCGGGGCGTCTCTTATGGCGCTGGTAATCGTGAGCGTTCTGCTTTGAAGAGCTTGCATTGTGCAAACGCAGATAGCTGAAGCTGAGAGTGGTTTGGGCTACTTGCAGCATTGAAATGTGGAATTTGCTGATCCCAGTAGATGACAGAGTGCAGAGGGACCATGTTGGGCTTTTGCAGCGCATCGTTCATTTGCTGTATTTTTCCAGAGGAAAACAGCCTTTTCTCTCTCTCTCTCTGCGCCTCCACCAAAAATGAGCTGCAAATGGCTTTGAACTATCTGGAGGTTTAATTAGGCTTTCCTCATCAGCAGGGGATTCAGGGTGGGTAAGCTTTTGTGTAGGGGGGTGGGGGGGAGCGTTCATAGTTGCACTCATGGAAATATCGTATTGCGCTCCTGTATGTATATATAACAGTATAATTTGGGTTTGTTTTTCCGAGCAGCCATTTTGTGCTCGTGGCGAGCTCGTGTCGAGTGCTTTTTCTGGGTGTCGGCAATCAGCAGACAGACGGGAAACTGCGAAGATGTTTGAAGTCTTTAGAAGTTTCTTACCTTGATCTGCATGCAGCAGCCATCGTCAGACTGCCACCAGCACATCACAACTTTGTGATTTGAGTCTTTGCTTTTGTTTGATGTTCCAAATGTGTCAGGAGAGAGAAAGAGGAAGGAAAAAAAAAAACTTGCATGATGTATTTTATTTGCTTTCTTCTTCCTACCAGTAAAGGCACATAACCTTTTCAGATTTTTTTCAAAGTAAAAAGAAAAGAAAACAATAAAACAACAATAACCAAAAAAAAAAAAAATCTAAAGCGGCATTCAAGTATAATCTCATGTGAATAGAACCTTGTGATTGGTCGGAGCGAGGTAAATGCTTTATTTCATCGTCGGTCTTGCAAGAGACTAATTAATTTCTTTAATGGGCAAGTGTTAGCTTTTCTTATATGACGGCACGCAGGATTGTTGTCCCAGTAAACAGTTTTACAAGTGGGCAGGGGACTCCGGCATCCTTCGCACCCTTTGTTGTTTAAAAGCCCCATATGGATTGTGAAACGGCAGCAGCTTTCAAAGCATCATTAGTCATGCATAAAAGGCTGTGTTACTGCTTTAATACCAGCCCTGGGCTCAGGCTCTGAAGATCTGCTTTAATTGTTCACCTCTGCTACGTTCTGTGGTCACGTGCTGACGTATCAGTGCATCGGCCAAATCTGTGTGTGTTTTTTAATTGTCCATCGCTCGCTGGCAGCTAATAAGCAGAAAAGGAGAATGAGTGCTCTAAGATGGGCATTAAACGGGATTCAGACACACCCCTCAGCATGCCTTGAATAATGATGTTCCTATTTCTCTCTTCCTTTTTTGGCTGTCTGGCTGTGTGTGTGTGTGTGTGTGTGCAGCGGTCCACCTGTTAGGTCTGACCTGGCATCTGCGGCACGGCGAGAGTCAGCTGTATGAAAACGGTCTGAGCTCAGCGGACCATCAACAGGAGGACCACATCAAAACCAGACCCACGAGCTCCATCCACCTGCTGGACACGCTCAACCCTGAAAACACATACACTGGTGACAGAGGTGAACACACACACAATAAAGAAGGTTTTTAATCTAAAAACAGATGTTATGTACACATGTATTGCTAGTAATTACCCATGAGTATCAACAGAATAAAAGTAACAGTGTGATTTATTTTTTTTAACAGTAAAGATGTTTGTAGCCCACCTATACACATAATTAGGTAAGGGCACTGATTCCTTTAAAACTATCTCACCTGGAACTTCTCCATGTTTATATGTATACAACTTGACCTCCTCAATTACCTTTGGAAACCCATACACTAATGCTTTTAAAATGATCAACACACTGCAATGCAAACACGTGCAATATAATAAATCCAAATACTCAGTTACATACTACTATGAAATTCTAGGAAATAAACAATACATGGCACCAGATTGAACTTGTAGAAAAACAGAACTTATTATTTACAAGATAAATCAAATTAAACAACATTAACAAAGGTGGTGCTTTCCTTCAAGTATCTTATTTTAAAGTAAAATAAAAAGAAATTAAATAAAACTCAGTGGGCCCACTTTCACTAAACCAGCCGACACAAAATAAAATAATTGTCTTCAAAATATAAACCATTGAGGGCATGAATCCATGCTGGAGAATGATGAGTGTGATACCTTTTTATCTGACGATTTAACTCCATTCATTTACTTACACCAGTTACCACCTTTACTAATATGGCGAGCTCAGGTGAAGAAGAAGATGGCTAACGGTGTTTTCTTCTCCTTGACCCCTCCTTTGGTCCACAGAAGAAGAGCAGGATTATGACAGGTGTCCTGTATCGATGTAATCTTCACAGCACCAACTTTATAACTCCACATTTAATCACATTTAGCTGCACCAAACACTGAATTTACAGAACTTCCAGATCAGAAATGTTCAGTTACAGTCCTTACCGTTAGCTGGTTTAGCTTCATGGAGCCACAAGTCTATTCACTTTGCTAATGAACCTTAATTATATTCAGCAAACTAATGAGCTAATAAGAATTTATACACCGTTATCTTTGGAATTTCAGGTAGAAATAATCACGGTGGTCCAAAACAAATGATCTTGATGAGGACTGTCAAGTAAAAAGTCAGAGACATTCAGCTACACTACACTCGTTTTTTTTCTTTTCACCACATTTCTCCTTCTTACCTCGACTTCAGATCAATTTAAACACACATTCAAACAGTAAACAGTTAATAACATAAAGTTATTACTAAATATTTTTAACCGAAAGTCTTACAATTGACCATATTTACATTTCGGTTCACAAGAATACTCTTTATGAACTTCATTTAGTACAACATATTGTATAATTTTGTGCTGTGTTACATGTTGATTGAGCAAGATTTACACCTAATTACTTGGAACAGTTTGTTTTCTTTCTCAAATTTGAGCTGTAACAAAATTGTGTATATTAAATCCAACAATAAAAATATGTTAAATTAATTGAACTACTAAATTTACTAATGATAAACTGAATTAATTTGACTAGATTAGGGTAAATCCACTGAACAAATATATGAGCTGAGATTTTGTTGCTTATATCATCCCCACCTCAAAGTAAAAAAATAGACCTGTTTGGACTAACCTCAAACCAACATCAGTGCAACACCTCTAAGTAGTGTGGGCTATCACCAAGCAAGAGACAGCATGAAGGCCAAGGAACTGTCAAACTAGGACAGAGAGAAAGTTGTGAAATTCAGATCTGGGATTATGAAAAATATTCCAGATCACTTATTCTAAGTTGATTATTAAAAACCTGACAAAACTCACAGATCAGGTAAGAAGGGCATTACGGTAATCAGAAAAGTAACCAAGACACCAAAGATACGGCCATCTTTGCAGCTCCTCCACAGAGATAGTAGAATATATCCATAAGACAACTATAAGCTGCACAAAGCTGGGCTTTATGGAAGAGTGGCTAAAGACATCACTTAAAGAAACAAATCAAACAGACTATTTGGAATTTGCCAGATGGCATAATGGAGACTCCCCAAAAGTGTGGAAGAAGGTGTTGTTGTCTGTTGACTAAAACAACACATTTGGGACTTGGGAACAGATCAAACACAATATAAAGATGGATGGAACAAAATACAGGGAAAGACTTGAGGGAAATGTGATGAAGTTCTCCAGAGATATGAGCCTGGGACTGAGCTTCACCTTGCAGTAGAAAAAATGAGCTTTAACGCACTGCTGCAGCAACACTCCAGTGGTTTAAGAAGAAACGTATGCTGGAATGGTCCAGTCAAAGCCCAGACCTCAGTCAATCCCAGAATCTCTGGTTTGGTTTAAATATTGTTGTATACACTCAGTGCCAATCTAACTTGAAAGACCTGGGCAGCTGTGGCTGAGTGGTTAGAGCAGTTGTCCTCCAATGCAAGAGTTGGGGGGTTGAATCCACCAGCAGTCACATGCCAAAATGTCCCTGGGCAAGACACTGAACCCCTCATTGCCTCTGATGTGTGTCCCATTGGTGTATGAATGTGATAAAGCACTGATTACTCTCTTTAGAATTATTTTTTTCAATTTGATTTGTATAGATCTAGTAGAGTGTTGTATGAATGTGATAAATGAGGCACATATAGTAGAGTAAAGAGCTTTGAGTGTCTTGACAAGATAGAAAGGTGATATATATAAGTACAGTCCATTCAACACCCATTCACCTGGAGCAGTTTGGTCATAAAGACAGGGTAACATTTCTAGTAGCTTGATGTACCAAAGTCAAGGAGACAAACCAGAGCAGACTGGATGCTATCATTGCTGAAGTACAAACTACTGACTGTTGAGGGGTGCTCAGTTATTTTTTTTTTTCATTTCTTATTTGCTTTCCAATTCAAAATATTAAACATCTTGAATGTAGCAGCTATTTTGTGTACATTTAAATTACAATACACACAAAAAGCTAAGTTCCAGTTGTAGGATAACAGAATATCCTGATTCATGCTCAAAGGTAAAAACAAAAAAACAAAAAAAAAAAACCAAAGTTAAGTCAGGTCCTCTGGACGATTTATTTTTGTTGAAACGGTTTATCTTTCATCCAAAATACTTCATCAGTCCAAGGAGCCGCATCAAATTCAATCTTATAAGTAGCACCTTCTCATAGTAATTCAACCAGTTTGATGGTGCTCAGGTGGTTTCTGTAGATGCTATTTATAAGACTTATTTGTTGCAGCTCCTCGGACTGATGAAGTCTTTTGGATGAAAGAAGAAATGTTCCATCAAAAAGAAATCAACCAGAGGACCCAACTTAACTTTGTTATATTTTCTACCTGGATTATTGAAAATGAATCAGAATATTTTGAACCATTTTGGCTATGATTGCCTCAAACAAGTCGGCAGAGTAGAGGGCGGACTACAGAAACCATCTGAGCACCATCAAACTAGTGTACCCACTATGAGAAGGTGCTATTTATAAGACTGAATTTGTTGCAGTTCCTCAGACTGATGAAGTCTTTTGAATGAAAGAAGAAACATTTCAACAAAAAGAGAGCATCCGGAGGACCTGACTTAACTTTGTTAGAATGGAGTGAATACATTTGCCATCCATTGCATCCATCAGGGCAGCACGGTGGCACAGTTGGTAGAGCTGCTGCCTCTAAGTGAGCAGGTTACCCTGGTTCAACTCCATGTCCGGTGGCCTTTCTGGGTGGAGTGTACATGTTCTCTCCCCGCATGTGTGGATTTTCTACTGGTACTCTAGTTTCCCAACACAATCCAAAAACATGCATGTTAGACTGATTGGTAACTGTAAATTGTCCCTAGGTGTGACTGAGAGCATGAACGGTTGTTTGTCTCATTTGTCTCTATGTGTCCCTGTGATGGACTGGAGACCTGTACGTGGTGTCCCCACCTCTCGCACAGTGATTACTGGATGTGGGCACCAGAGACCCCCACAACCCAGGAGGGAAGAAACGGGTAAAGATAATGGATGGATGGACGAATGTATCCATCATCTGCCCAATTGTCAGCCATTTTCTGTTATATTTGGACTTAGAACAAATCCAAGCAGTGAGATGAATGATCCAGAACAACACACCAGATGGAAATCAGCCATAGACTGATGTTCATCAGAAATGGGAAATAACTGGTTAATCATGATCTCCCTTAGCCAGTATGTGACTAGAATAGCTTTCCACTCTGCCTTCTCTCATCTTGCCAGAGGAATTTCTAGCACCAATTTAACCCGATGGTACAGGACATTAATTGTGAGTGTTTCAGGTCATGAAGTCATGCAGGACACAGCAACCTTCATACTTGGTCTGACTCTGATGGATATTACATCAGAAGCTTGCTGGAGCTCATATGCAGCATTAATACAGCGGATGTGTGAGCCAAACTGCAGCCCTCTGCAATTTAGTCAACCTGGGACATCCCAAAAGCAACTATTCTTGATGAATCCTCACATTCTGAGGATTAACATTCTCATTTGTAGCTAAATCCTCCAGCAGACTCGCACAGGGGTCACAGGAATTCACTTCCAAGTGTTGCGTCACAACAAGCTATTGTTTTAACTCCTACTGCTTTACATGCTTGATGAAAGCAGGGGAAATCAAAATGGGCAAAGCTAAGCCGCTGGTGCATGGGGCTCAGATTAATAAAATTGGCACGCTGGAGGTGGTCCCCTGGCATAGAAGGGCCAAAGAGATTAGAGATTAGGCTGTAATCTAGTGTGGCAGATTATCACGCTCATCCTGCTGTACCCATCACCTCTCACATCGAGAGACTGCTCAATCCCCAAGATTACACTCCGAAGGATGGTGAGAGGAGGTTGTGGGGAGCGGAAAGGATAAAGCATGTCAGAGTAGAAAGAGAAAGGAGTTAAAGTGGTGGGAGGGGAATGGGGTGATTGACAGGAACACTAGAAAGGAATTTAGTAGAAAACTGCTAACAGGGAAAAAGCTTTCCAGTTAAAAATATAGTAGACTAAAAAGAAACTTTTTCTTACTTGTCTACAAACCATTAGCAGCCAACATGTAAATCATTTGCTTTTTATTTAGAGATCAGTTCTTGTATT